GTAGTGTCCCAAATTTTCTGATCAAGGAGATTATGGGTCCAAAGAGGAAGGTGATCAATGATGTAGAATGTGCCTAAGGAGAGTCATATGGAAAGAAAACATTCTCTTAGGCTTTCACAGAGAGCAAATTGGCCAAGCAATGGACATGACTTATCCACATGGCTGACACTGACAAAGGATCTACAATCTGAGGTATAGGATCTCGGGATAAATCCTGAGGGTATTTCATTGACCTTATCAGATCCAAAAGCTACAACTTTTGTTGCATAGGTCTCGCTTTATCTTGGTCTTAACCATCCAGCAGAAAAGGATAAAAACAAAGCATAAGAAGTAAAGCAATGGTGTTATGTTGAGCTGTAGGGGACTCTTATCAACAATTTCTGACACCGCTAGTCAAGCGGAAGACCCAATACTATTATGGACTACTGGACTCTTTCAGAATATTTTTACTGAGTTAACATACCTATAATATTCAAATGACAGAACTAAACAAAAAAGGGGATACAGATGAATGTCCATTTTGTATCTGTGTATTCAAATCGGTTAGGATAGATATGTAGTTACATTCTCTTAATCAATAGAGGGATTTGTTCTAATAGTGTTTGTAAATAGTATTATGTTTGCATCTTGTACAGCAAATAACCACTAGGAAGAGCATATGCAATGTGTTAATTATTGAAACTATCCTACCAATTTGGTTTGAAACTGTCTCATTGCTATTTGTTTCTCAATGAAATTATGGAACAAAATAAATAAAATCAGTAAAGAGATCCTCCCCCCAATCCAAAACAATAAAGTCACATTTGGCACAGCTATACGTGGAGGTATTTTCCTGATCCCTAGGCAGTAAAGTCATCGTTTCACAGTAATACATACATACACAAATTTATGGCAGTGCAATTCACAACAGCTGAAGTATGGAAACAGCTTAGATGCCAATTAGCAGAAGAATGGTTAAGAAAATGTGAAGATAAATAGATAGATGAGAAAGAGATAGAGATAGAGATAGAGATGCCATAGAGGATAAATTTGAGTCATTTGCTAAAAGGTAGATGACTTTGACACTATAAATTTTAAGTGAACTGAATCCGACATAGAAAATTAAGTATCACATGGTTACTCTTACATGAGAATCCCAAAACAGAAACAACTGAAAGAGCAAAATAAATGACAGATGATAATCTAGGCAGTCACACTTGTTTGTTTGTTTTTTTTTCAGAAATGGTAAAGAGGGATTCACAGAATGGAGAAAAGGAAAGGGTAGAGAAAAGAAGATTTTATAGATTATATATATATTTTCTGAAATAAATGTATGTATACACAAGTATATACTAATAAAAATAATTAAAAAGTAGTAAAAAAACTTTATTGTTTTAAGGGAAAATGTAATTTTCTAAAGGTTTCTTTAACTCACATTGTTTGGATATCATGGTATAATGAATAAGCAATGCCACATGTCCTTCATCTTACAGACTAATGTATATTTGATTGAATTCCCATTGTTGTAATATGTTTCCATTTTAATTTGTGTAAAATGCTGTGAGAACCATGACATAACTCCACCCTACTTGCATAATTCTGGAAAAGTCAGGCCCTTCTCAGAGCTGTCGCAGTGTCCCACATTCAACTCTTTCCCATGAACATATGTATTCATCAAAAATTTTCAAAAATCTTTGAAGTAGCACTAATAACAAAATTAACAATAAAAGCTTTGCGTTCTATCCTCCCAAAAAATTAATTTTGATCATATAAACTATATAAAAGACTTTCTCAAGAACTTGCTATGCACTATTAGGATAAGAATATTGTGGTGTAAAATAGCACCATTATATATGCTACAACTTACTTTAGAAAAGTCATCAACAGCCAGTACTCTGTTCTCTTTCTCATAAACTTCACCCCTCCTGAAATAGATATCAGCATTTGTGGGCCTACACTTAATCGCCTGGGTATAGTTTAGAATTGCCAGAGTAATGTTGTTGCTTTTCCTGTAAATTTCAGCCTTAGATAAATATGCATCTAATAAAAGAAAAAGAAAAAAATTACTGCTACAATCCTTTTAACTATGAATGCAAACAAATTAAATCATTTCCTCCAAAAATGTAGGTTCATTTTCTTTGAGATGAACAGTGAAGAACCAATTCAAGCAATTATCATTTAATTTTCAATAATGCCAAATTTGTTCTAAAATAGACATACTTTTGTGACTAAAAGGGCTCTCAATTTGAAGTGACAAAAATTACTTTTCACTTTTCTGTATGTCTAAAGTGATTCATTATTTTTAATGATAGTAGAAAGATTTTGATGGCACAAAATTTCTTGAAATTTTAATAGACAGATCAACAATGGTCAAGATTTATTAAGCCCATATATCTGCAGGCCTGTGGAGGATATTGAGCTACAAAAACGAGTATAACATTTTTATATTCTTGGGAATTCCATGTCCAGTGGCTTGCTTGACTTGATTAGAGGATTTTACATAGGGCAAGGTTATAAATTTAATCCAACCAAGAAGTCCTAGAAATACATCTTTCATCTCAGTATGTGTGGTAAAAAAATATTTGTAAATCACTTCTAAAAGTAGAACTTTAGGTTCATATTCTCTGAGATGAACAGTGAAGAATCAATTTTCTGTCATGTAATGAACATTTCAAACCATGATGAGCATTCTGAAAACAACAGGATTGTCTGAAACCTGAATTTATAATAAAAGGAATGTACAGTTTAACTGAAGAAAGTCACAACCATATTTTAGATAACTTCTTTATATTGATTTATGCATCATTATAATAACAAAAGATGACAAAAACTGAGATAAAAGTTAGGTAATATAACTTTCTCAAGAGACAACCCACCTGCATTATTTTTGTTATATTTACTTATATAATTCAAGTCTTCCAAAGCTTCATTAATTTTGTCTTGAAACAGATAAATGAAATGTCGGTGCCAATAGGCATTGAGAAACAATGGCTCCAAAAGAATAGCCTAGAAAATATGTATTTAAATTCAGTTAAAATTGATTTACCAAAGGAAAAGGTCTTATTAAATAAATTTTTCACATAGTAGTGAGCCCAATGTTTTATGTGTATAATATGAACCTCCCATCTAACAAGCAAAATCTAGTGCCTTAATAGTAATTATTTGAAAATTCTGTAAATTGTATTTTTATCACCCCATATAGTATAGTACAATAATTCATTATTCAAAATTACAATTAAAAATAGCGCAAAATTAAAATCAATGTAAATAATTAATATTGGCCTTTTTATAATACTTACTTCCTGTAGATCACTCATGGCACTCTGCAACTTGCCCAGTTTCCTATAAATTGCTCCACGCCTACAATAGGCAAATGCAGGAAATGTTTTCTTCTCATTGATTTCTTCAGTCAAGATTTCCACTTCAGATTCATAATGTTTTATGACCTCTGGTGGGAGATCGCATTCTAAAGAATCACTTAATTGGACATTTGGTGGTTCTTCTGCGCTTTCAGAAAGGTCTCTTTTAATGGTCATTTCATCAACCTTTGTGGCTATTTTCTGAAGCTTACTTCTAAAGAGTGTATCATGAGCCCACATGTAAGGGTCCCTAGTTTCTAGCATTCCCCCTCTCCTTCCAACAAATTTATCAAAATTTAAAGACATAGGTAAGCTGGGACTCCGTGTTAAACGTTCATATAATGGAACTTTGAGGAGGTATTTCTTCTGTCCAGGAAGTATTCCGTGAGATGTTGATCTAGTTTTTAAAAAAATGATCTTTTAGTTACATAAATATCATTCCTCTGGTCAATAAATGAACTCAATTATATAAAAAATTATTAGTTTTCTGTTATCAAAATAAAGTTACATGATAATTTCATGCAACCCAACTCTACCTTTTAATTCACTAAAGTTAAAACATAGTATAAAGAAACTCTGTCACATATACAATGGCAAGATTGACTGTTTTTAAAGACTTAACCTCCGAAAGTACTGAAATACTGGGACAGTTCTTTTTAATTTATATGCTCTATCCTCAACCTCTTCCAGCAGAATTCTATTGGAGAATTAAAAAGAAAAACATAAAAAAGATTAATATGATTCAAGGAAGAAAATACCACTCCAGAGGATATACAGGACATGAATTTGAAGAAATAAGAACAGCCAAGAGTGGTGGTGTATGCCTGTAATCCCAGAACTCAGGATGTAAAGGCAGTAGGATTGTCATGGGTTCAAGACCTGCCTAGGCTATATAGTGAGCTCAGTGCCAACCTGAACTACATAGCAAGACCTTCAAAACCCTCCCAAGTAAAGTAGGAATAAAGAAAGAGGTGATACAAAACCGATTACTGACTAAACATCACAGACTTCAACCTTCTCCAGTAAACTATCAAATTAGATAACACTGAGTATGATTTCAAAGCTCAAAATTAAGATTATTATACAAATTTTTATTGGCAATACAGCCTTCAGTTTATTAGCACATGTGATATGCCTAGCACTACACTACACATGAGAGACTGGATGAACACATTGTATTGGAGGACCAAAAAATTTTCAAAGTTATATTTTGTATCCACTGAGTAGACAGTCTGAGAAAAACTTACAGCTAACAACTAGAATAAGGTTTATGACTTAAATTTTTTTACACTTCCCACTCCTCTTCACATTTTAGTGCAAGTCATGATCATCTATTCTACATAGAATACAGTAACTTCTCAACACGCTTCTTCTACCCTTGCCCACTGCACACTCGGTCCTCCTCATGGTATTCAACAAGTGTGTTAGAAATGAAAATTAGGCCGGCGGGACCTATTACTGGTCCAAGCCCAGGCACAACGTGGGTAAGACCCTCTTCCACCGTCTTGGGACACCCCCCACCACTCCACAGAACCTCCCCCAAACCCTCTTGGGACGCCCCCCACCACTCTACAGAACCTCCCCCACCCCGCCTGACAAATAGGAATTTCTGCCACATTCTGGGCACCACCAGACCCAGTCCTAGCCCAGGTCCGGTGAGTGTGCAGGAGAGCTTCCAGCTACCCTGCGCCGGCGGGACCTATTACTGGTCCCAGCTCAGGTGCATCGTGGGTGAGACCTTCTTCCATACCCTTGGGACGCCTCTCACCACTCTGCAGCGCCACCTCCACCCCGCCCGCCGAGTAAAAATTTCTGCCGCTTTCCTGGAACCCCCAGACCCAGTCCAACCCCAGGCCCAGTGAATGTGTGGCAGAGCTTCCTGCTACCCTGCGCCAGCCTGACATATTACTGGTCTCAGCCCAGACACAGCAGAGGTGACATCCTCTTTGACCCCCCTTGGGATGCGCCCCAA